TATTACATCTTGTTGCCATTTACGTTAAATTATAGTGTTTTTTTAACTGCTTTTGTTACAAGATCGGCAAAATTCTATTTTCAACACTTTTCCTATCATTCAAAATCTCAAAGCTTGGTTTTTTAACATATATTTACATAATTAAGACACAATAACACGCCGAATAAATACTAATTCAGAAGTCAAACAACAAAAATCAGCGTTAATTTACAAAATTTTCACAGGACTAGTTTCGATGGTTTTACCAAACCATCATCTTCAGCTGCAAAACCGCAAAAGAACAAGATAGGAAATAATGTTTAGATAAGATAAGAAAGCCTGGACAAGAATAGGCAAGGCCAAACCAGAACTAAAACATAATTTCTCTAAAAGCCGAAGGCAAATTTGGATTGGAATTAGGATCGTTAACTAGAACAGAAAGATTTTTATGAATGTGAAATGCCTCTAGAAAATCCAGTTCTCCAATGGAAGATGTTTTTTGAGTAATTTTGGCAGCAGAAAAATTGAAAGTGTGATTTTCGGACCAACAATGTTGAGCAACAGAAGACTTCTGTGTTTCCTTTTTTCTAACATATGCCTCATGTTCTTTGACGCGAAATTTTAAGGCTCTCTTAGTTTGGCCAATGTAAATTAAACCGCACTGGCAAGGAATCCTATAAATACCCCAGGAATTCATATCCGGAATGGGGTCCTTGAGTATAGAAGTTGGAATTTTATTGATGGGAGAGTAAACAACCCGAAAGTTAAATTTCTGCAAAATATGTGCAACTTTATAGCTAATTGATGGAAAGAAGGGAATGACAACAGAATTTTTATAATCTCCTAAAATAAGAGTGTGGCTTTTAGTGTGTTGAGATGAGAATTTTTTAACTGCTTGATTAATAATGTTGGGTGAAAAGCCCCTGTCAATAGCTATTGCTTTTAAATAATTTAGTTCTTCATCAAGGGCTAGTTTGGAGGAGCAAACTTGAAGAGCACGGAAAACATAGGAATAAAATGAAGCTAACTTTTGTTTAGTCGGATGACATGATTTAAAGTGTGGTGGAAGGCAAACCGATGAAGGTTTACGGTAAACTGTAGTACTGAAGTTGGATGTGTTACGTGTGACCAGAATGTCGAGAAACAGAAGAGAATTGCAAGTCTCAAGTTCAAAGTGAACTGAATAGCAGGATCAATAGAATTCATTGTTGAAAGAACTCTATTTAAATCATCTTTACTACCTTCAAACAGGGTAAAAGTATCGTCTACGTAGCGGAACCATGCCGGGAAGTTTAAAGTTTCAAATAATTTTGATTCATAATAATGCATGTAGATATCAGCCAGGATGGGACTGAGGGGGCTTCCCATGGCTAATCCCTCAGTTTGCTTGTAATATTTATTTTGGAAAACAAAATGTGTTTGTTTCAAACAGAGTTGAGTGAGAGAAATTAGCTCATCAATTTCGATGCAAGTTCTTTTGCGGTTTTGCAGCTGAAGATGATGGTTCGGTAAAACCATCGAAACTAGTCCTGTGAAAATTTTGTAAATTAACGCTGATTTTTGTTGTTTGACTTCTGAATTAGTATTTATTCGGCGTGTTATTGTGTCTTAATTATAGAAGCCCCAAACAGGCTTACATTTTGCTTTCTTTTTTGCACGTGGTGTGGCCGCCATTTTGTGATTGTAGGAGTTTCGGTGAGTACATTTTTGCAATTTTCAAGTTATGTTTATGTTTTGTACATTTGGATATTGTGCTTTGCTTGTCTGATTTCATGCATTTTGCTTACAAACATTTTGTTTTCTATTCATTTTCAGTGAGGGATTTTTCTGCTATTTTGTGTGTACTTTATTATTGCTCAGTTAATTTAGTTTGATTTTTCTGCATTGTTTCATGCCTTCATCCGTTAATCGTTTCACTAAATTACGCCTGAAACGGCAAAAATTCCTGAATCATCTTCACTTTTTACTTAATGTAAATGTAAAAAATTGATCCCCAATTTTATTCAAATCAAATCTAATCAAAAACCTTCGAGTCGCGTTTCAAGAATTCTGTTAAATTGCAACTTGCCTTACTTCAGTCCGTGATAAGGGATACACGTCAACAATTGTCCAAAATTGAACATGAACTCTATAAGCTTCACCTGGAACTCGCTAAAACATATCCAAAATTCACTGGCCCTTGAACAAAAGTCTTGGTCTAGAACGGAGAATGCAGTTAACCGTCATAAAAACACCCTTGCGTTAAATTCGAAAAACTTCTTTTACAGTCTTCCAGTCCAAGTAGTTCAAAAAAATCTTCCCATTGTAAACATCAAGCCAATAGTTAATATTTCTAATGTTAGTCTTTCAGAAGAACAAGAGAGAATTCTAAATATAATTTTAACTTCTCACAAACCTGTAAACCCTCGATTCCAAAGATTTTGGCTCCTATTGAAAAAGCTTTCAAGTTCAGTAAAGTTTCAGATTCACAGAAAGAAATGATTAGGCATCTTATCGCTCATAATGTGAAATTCAATAATAAACCTTTGAAACCAAATCTAACTGCGAGAGAAAGAGCTACAATGCGCGAGATTCATTCTAACCGGATATTGTCATTTCAAAGGCCGACAAAGGTGGCCAGATAGTCGTCATGGATAAGAACACTTACATCGATGGTGTCACTAAACCTCTTAAACGAAGGACCATATAATCCGATCCCTAAAGATCCTTCACCTTCGGACTTATCCAAAATAAAAACTGCGATCAAATCTTCGCAAATCATTTCAAGCAACTTAAAACATTCGCTTATCCCATCTGTTGCGAATTGTGCCAGATTATATGCTCTTCCCAAATTCATAAAAGTGGGTATTCCTTTCTGCCCTATTGTATCAAATTTAGGTACTGCCTCGTATCCATTAGCTAAATATTTAGTTTCTAGATTTTCCACTCTATTAGACAATAACATTTACACCATAAAAAATTCAATAGAGTTTGTAAAAAAGGTTAAAAACATTTCTCCTCGTAATTTACTCATGGTTTCTTTTGATGTAAAATCATTATTCACCAATGTCCCAGTGGAGGGTGCATTAAGATGTCTAGAAACCAGACTTCACGAATTTCATTTCTCTTGCATCGAAATTGATGAGCTAATTTCTCTCACTCAACTCTGTTTGAAACAAACACATTTTGTTTTCCAAAATAAATATTACAAGCAAACTGAGGGATTAGCCATGGGAAGCCCCCTCAGTCCCATCCTGGCTGATATCTACATGCATTTTTATGAATCAAAATTATTTGAAACTTTAAACTTCCCGGCATGGTTCCGCTACGTAGACGATACTTTTACCCTGTTTGAAGGTAGTAAAGATGATTTAAATAGAGTTCTTTCAACAATGAATTCTATTGATCCTGCTATTCAGTTCACTTTTGAACTTGAGACTTGCAATTCTCTTCTGTTTCTCGACATTCTGGTCACACGTAACACATCCAACTTCAGTACTACAGTTTACCGTAAACCTTCATCGGTTTGCCTTCCACCACACTTTAAATCATGTCATCCGACTAAACAAAAGTTAGCTTCATTTTATTCCTATGTTTTCCGTGCTCTTCAAGTTTGCTCCTCCAAACTAGCCCTTGATGAAGAACTAAATTATTTAAAAGCAATAGCTATTGACAGGGGCTTTTCACCCAACATTATTAATCAAGCAGTTAAAAAATTCTCATCTCAACACACTAAAAGCCACACTCTTATTTTAGGAGATTATAAAAATTCTGTTGTCATTCCCTTCTTTCCATCAATTAGCTATAAAGTTGCACATATTTTGCAGAAATTTAACTTTCGAGTTGTTTACTCTCCCATCAATAAAATTCCAACTTCTATACTCAAGGAGCCCATTCCGGATATGAATTCCTGGGGTATTTATAGGATTCCTTGCCAGTGCGGTTTAATTTACATTGGCCAAACTATGAGAGCCTTAAAATTTCGCGTCAAAGAACATGAGTCATATGTTAGAAACAAGGAAACACAGAAGTCTTCTGTTTGCTCCAACATTGTTTGGTCCGAAAATCACACTTTCAATTTTTCTGCCTGCCAAAGTTATTTAAAAAACATCTTCCATTGGCGAACTGGATTTTCTAGAGGCGTTTCACATTCAAAAAAAAACTTTCTGTTCTAGTTAACGATCCCTAATTTCAATCCAATCTTTGCCTTCAGCCTTTTAGAAGAAATTATGTTTTAGTTCTGGTTTCAGCAACAGATGGCGCCACTGCCTTATCTCTTGTCCAGGCTTTCTTATCTTATCTAAACATTATTTCCTATCTTGTTCTTTTGCGGTTTTGCAGCTGAAGATGATGGTTCGGTAAAACCATCGAAACTAGTCCTGTGAAAATTTTGTAAATTAACGCTGATTTTTGTTGTTTGACTTCTGAATTAGTATATATTTACATTTTTAAAGTCTTTTAAATAAGAATGCTGATAGCCTCAAAGTTTAAGACATAAAGCTTTTATGTATAATATGGAAAAATTTCAAATTTGTCATTTTTGTATATTACACAAAATGTCAATTTAATGTCAAAGTTATTTGGAAAGTTAATAAATCTATATATTTGTATTCTGTCTTAAATTTCATATTTAAGAATAAAATAAAAATAAATGCTAGTTATTTCGATTACCTAATATCAATATAAATTTCTGTTAGTAAATGATTTTGTTGTTGAAAAGACTAATGTGTTGAATATATTTTATATTTTCTTAATTTTTATAGCAAAAATTTGAATGTCTTTAAGGATGTATTATTTAAGAAATATGAAGATAACAATTTGCATTATATTTGTGCTTATTATTATCTTTGCTTTTGTAAAAAAAATAATGTGTGCTATAATGGAAATTATTTTTAATGTTCTTAAAACTTGAGCTCTAATGTAACAAACTAATTAAATTAAAAATACCTGTGATTTTAAAGCTTAATCCAGTATCTTAATAATATTTGTTATAGTGCTTATTTTTATGTTGCTGAAGAGCTATTATCGGCATTTTGTTACAGGCTACGAAAACGAAGATTGGTATATTCAGACACCTGTTTTAAGCCCTGGCGCTGATATCCCACTCAGTCCAGAGGTTGTTGAAGAAACACTGAAATATTTTGGTAACCAATGAATTACTGCATTTTCTGGCATGCTTCCTTTTTTCGCATGGAATTATTTACACTGGTATTATTACTATTATTACTGAAAATCCATTTATGACCTCCCTAAAGAACGTATGTAGTTGCTTCCTTCCTTAGCAAAAAATGAAGGATTATTTTAAAAATGTTTTATACATTTTTTATTAAATTATCATAATCTTCCTTAGAATTCCCCTGTCTACATACAAAAAGAAAAAAAAAAAAAAGTATAATTTTAATGCTCATGGTGTATTTCTAACACTCCATGTCTCTAAATGAATCTTGTTGTAGAATTGCAAACCTAATTAGCCATCTAAGTTCATCTGTTTAACCTTTACTTGCTCTGGCAAATTTCGATCTTTTCTTTAAGTAGTGGTCTAAACTTTATAGAACAGGTAGAAGGATAAAAGTTTATCTGAAAGTTTTATAAAAAAAAATTCTGCCTTACAACAAAACTAATAAATTGTGTCTTATAGTGTAACTAAATACTAGTCACTGTTACTTGGATTTCAGTAATTTAAATATATACAACACAGAAACTACCTTTTAACAATTAAATAACTTGACACCAGAAAGCATGGTTGCTAATCTTGTGACAAATACAAAACTAATAAGTACAAAATTCGCTCACCAGATACACAGATTGGCTCTACATGAGCATCTCATATTAAATAGTTTTAAGTTTCTTACCAAGCATTCTTCTAAATTGCGAATTTGCTCACTAATTAACTATACCTTATTTGCATTCTGGTGGTGGCTTATTAAAGAAAGGCAAATAGAAAGGAATTAACATGTAACTAAAGCATTATAATATGTATTCAAAATCTTATATTTCCCTCCTTCTAGATTTATTTCTAAATGAAGGCTTCCTACTAATGAATAGGAGGTATTATCTTGCTGAAAGAAAATCAACTGTAGATATCAGTTTTATAACATTTTAGAATAATTTATCACATTTCTTCTGCAAACTGACTAGTGTGATAATTTGAGGGTGCTTGTAAATCTTAGTTCAATCTTCTGTCTTTTATAATTTAGTAGTGCAAAGGAAGATAATAAGATATTATGATTAACTCATAGGAATCAATATTAAAAGAAGTGGTTATTTCTCTGTGGCTTTATGATTTTTTTTTTTTTTTTTCAACTGTGTAATGTACAATGAAACAAACTGTACCATGATGTTAATGCATATGTTTAAGAAGAGAGTGAATTACAGTTGCATATCAGTGAAACATAAAAACTTTTTATGATGAAGCTAAATTTATTACAATGGCAAATATTATGCCCATATTTTTCTATTAATTTAAAACCATAAATAAAAAATAATTAAGACTATTATCTTCATTTATGATTATGTAATTCTGAATTTTTCAAATGTAGGATAAAGTTTTTAAGCATATAGACTAAACATCAGGTAGAGTAGTACATGTTCTAGCTACAAACTTCTAGATATTCTCAGCAAGTAGTTTTGCAGCTATGCACTATTCAGAGAAGAAAAAATTACAGACAGTGCCATAACCTTTTTAATTTTTCATTTAAAATAAATGGAAGTTTTGTTGAATTACCATATAGCTGAAATAGAAAATTAAAGATCAGTAAAAATGTACTAATGCATAGACAATTTTGAGATAGCTCAGAATAGATTACAGTGTTTTAATAGCAGAGAGAATATTCATTTTATGTATTCAGTGTTTTATCATTGTCTTTAAATTCCTAGTTAATCTCTTCCATCATTGAAAATACATTTATTAATTCATAATTTTATTAATATAATGATATTAATAAACCAATATGTTGCATTTATACTGTTTGTAATAAATACAGTTTTTACTATTTTTCTGTAATTTTCATTCATGTAAGAAGTATATATTCCCTGCAAGTCCAGATGAATAACTTTGCAGTATTTTACTGCTTATATTACTGTTATGTAAATGATAATGATTATAATAATAGTAATATAATATATAATATAGCAATAATGTAGAGTAACAACTTTTCTATTTTACTTATTGTAGAAATAATCCTCCCTAAAAAAAAATAATTCTTTCTAAGATGGCCATTCGTAGTTTCAGAAAGTTTTGGTCTATTGTGGAGAGAAAATTGCTCTTAGGGTAATTGATAATTAGATGGAAGAGGAATCCATTGCAAACTGATAATTGGCAGTTATCAATCTATGCAAATTACCATGTTCAAAACTTGTGGAACTTGTAAAAAAGTTATGAAATACAAATGTGGGATATTGGTTTATGAATACCATTACATTAATATTATTATAATTAATTGAAGTGATAAAAAATTAATAATATAGAGGGGACTTCAGAAAAAAAATCTTGCATGTAATTTTCTGAAATGAATAATTAGCTGAATAATATTTTAAAGCATGAAAAACAGATCTTATATTTAAATAAATAATCACATTGTAATTGGCAATTCACTTTTTCACTTGTAATTACAGTAGAAACCTGTTGATGGTAAGCTATTTGTAATATTTGAAGCTTTCAATATCTATATTGCACATTAAATTTTTTAAAAAAAATTTATTGGTAGAACATATTTAGTTTAAAATAATAAAGTATTCTGATTTCACCTTTATATATGTTACATGAGTATTTCTTAAATTTTCTTTTTAACACAACTTGTTTTTCTAATATGGCAGTTTAAATGAAGTGAATTTTTTTCTAGTGCTATGTGCTGATCGCCTCAGCCAGATGACAAAGACATACAATGATATTGATGCAGTAACAAGATTATTGGAAGAAGTAAGTTTTGCTTAGAAAATGTTAGGGTATTATCAGTTTTACCAGCAACCAAAACATCAAGTTTAGGTGCCATACCTGAGGAGGAAAAAAAAAAAAAGAGGGGGGAATTGTAATTTGTTATTTAAATTCCCAAAAATCAGGAATAGCAGCTTCCTGCTATTGGACATGGGATTTTTGATGTGAAAAATCAGTTGTCAATGCCAAGGGCTTTCTTTTTCTGGCAATTTTTCACATCCATGTTCATACATAACTTTATTTCATTACCAGTTTCCGTGATGTATTTAGTAGAGGGTTAAATCTTTCACATTCAGAGGGGCCAAAATCTCTTAACCTCAAACATCTAAAATGTCTGTGTATACGAATTTCTTTTGGAATGGTTCCCCACCCTGTATATTGAGAAATTATTGACTATACATATCTGATTGTTTTAAAACTCCTGTTTCAAAAGAAATATATTCTTTCATAAGTGCATTTTAAATGGTTTTAACATAAGAATTATAGTTACGTTTCCTTGAAATTTCAACTGTAAGATACAAAAGGTTACTAAGAAAAAGACAAACAGTTTATTAAGTATATTTTTTTTCACATAAGTAGGAATATTGGAGTTATGTGTGAAATAAAAAAAAAATCATTCTTTTTACATTTTCTGTTATTTTTGTACCAGAAACATGTTTTTACTTCAAATATATTTAGGTAGCAGACAAAAGCTTTCTTTTTATGTTATGAAGGGTCTATTTTCATTTTCATATAGTAAAAGAGACTGGAATATCTATTCATCAAAGCAGCCTTTGCAAAGGCACATCTTGCAGATTTCGCATTCCCATGCACTTTGAATGGAATTGTTTGCTGACTTTTTATCTCTTTGCTGCCAACATCTATCACAAGTTCTTTTATAGCCTTCGATTTTTCTTTATTTATGAAAATGACTAAAAATGTGTTCAAATGATGCTGAAGAGCACTTTCTATGTGAGTATGCATTTGCTAATCATTGTATGAGTTCAAGCTTGAAATCCAACAAAGTTTTTGATAATTTGTAGTAATCTGGATTTTATAGACATTTTTTATGGTGATGTTCATAAGGAACCAAAATAGATACATCCACCATTTGGACGATTTCTGGTAGCTGTATAATATTTACATCTCTGGTCTTCTTTACTCCTTCCTCCTGTTTTTTCCTGTTCATATGACACATCTCTTCAGGTATATTGGTTGATAGCATAAAAATTTGCTTTTTGTTTATCCAAGATGTGCACCACAAATTTGGAAAGTTTTGATTTTGGAAAGTCTGATTTTTCAGTTGGGATTTTAAATTGTAATATTTTAATTTCAGTTGGCAAGTGCTTTCAGGTCAACATAATAGTTCAGCAAGAATAAAATTCAAATTTGAGTCAATCAATCATCAGCTGAGCGCAAGTAAAATATCAGTCAAAACAGAATTCATGCCCCTTGCTACTTAAGGGTTTTATCATATATATGACAACACTGTACTCCAATCTTTTGCCTGATCTCAAGATTTTATCTTGTTTTCTCCCATACAATTCAGAGTTTATTGTATAACCCAAATGAGATATGCATAACATCCAGATTGGATGACATCTGCGTTTATCTGGTTTTAAAGCCATATAGTCTATAATTCCTAAATGCCCTTTGAATTTTACCATAGCTTTATCAACTGAAAGATATTTATATGGTTTAAAACAATCTGAAAAACCTCCCTTATGAAATAATAGGCTCCAATTTTTGCAAAATTGGAATAATTAGTTTTCATTGTTTTTTTACATCCTTTACTCTGTTAGAGTATGAAAATAATGCTTAGTTTTTTAAAATATATCTCTACACATTAATTTCTTTGTCACTTCATTGCCAAGTATAGGATTCTGGGACCAGTAATCATTCATTCTAGTTAAACGCATAATGCTCATTACGGGGGGGGGGGAAAGCAGTTATAAAAGCCCATGTCTCATTTATGGATAGTATAGCTGCCAACTTCCATCTTCAACACCACTTTTTTTTTTTTTCCCCCAAAACTCTGCATATTTATTCTGTCTGGTTACTTTACAGTATTCATCAGGCACAGATAATTTGAAATAATCTAAAGGCAGACAATCCAATTGGCAAATCATGAGATGGTCCAGGTGCAGAAAAGAAAGATACAGATTTCATGTACTTGTTATATATGTTGTTCCTGCAGTCTAATTTGAAGTTATAATATGAAGAGCCCAAATTTTCGTCACTTTCTAAAACAGATTGTTCTAAATGATAATTGTGTTCGATTTCATCATCCCCATTATCAGTCAATATATGTTTTGCATGACCATTATCTTCATCAGATTTGGTGGAATCGGATTCGTCTGTTACTCCAAATAATATGACATTTTTATCTTCTTTCATTAATATCTTATGTCTTCTTAACATTTTAAGATGAAGCTGCTGATTAGCATCCAAATGTTTGAACTGTCTAAGAAGGGAGTAAAATGAGCAATCTAGATGTAAGCCACCTCCCCTGGAAGTATTGGTGCTTAACAAAGAAGAGGAAAGGTGCATTCAGATAAGAAACCTACTTTAGTTGCTTCAAAAGAATGATTGGCATGTCATTTAACAACTCAGAAACCAATGAGCCATGCACTATTGTGATGGGGGAAAGCATCAGGTAGAAAATGGATGAGACATTCGGGCAACCTGTTGATGTCTGAATGTACAGATGTTCTGGGTGACTTTGAAGCAAAATAATTAAATACACCTTTTTTGGAAGAAGCAATAGCATCATTTCCATTTAATGGTAAATTTAGGTAGTAGGTTTAATTGTAAATTGAAAATTGTCACCATTTTGAATTTGGAGCAGAGGAGAATTCTTACAAATGAAAAAATAATTTTACATTTCTTATTACTTGGTTATGGTTGATAAACTTGGTAATTAATTACTGGTCATCAGTAAAACCAACAAGTACAAATATTAGTATATATTATTAATGCTATATATTTAATATTATATCAGTATTTTGATATTTTTGGAACTTTTGAAGCATAACTGATCTGAATAATTTGCTTTAAATGTTTGTAGAAAGAACGTGATCTGGAACTTGCAGCTCGTATTGGACAATCTTTATTGGATCAAAATAAGGATCTTAGAATTCGAAATGATCAACTTGAACAAGAGTTAGCTACATCGACTGAAACGGTACTCTTCTCGAACTTATTTATCAGAATTGTTTCACATATGTAAGCCTTTGAGTTCCGCTACGTATACACTATTTATATGCCCTTGAGTTACCAAGTAATGTAAGTCCCATTATTAAAAACACAGGTACTTTCTACTTTAAAAATTTGCTTTTTTGAAAGAACTAAGTAATTGCTTATTTCAATTTTTGAAAGACACCCAAAGATTATTATTATTATTTAAGAAGGATGAAAATATGGTTCACCATATGTTTTATTTAATGAGTGCACAAAGGCCTATAACAACGGTTCTCAACCTTTTGACTAACGTGTTTTATCTAAACAAAAACTGAAAAATTTTAGTACCACTGCTACATTTTACAATGATTATTTTAAAATTTCTCAATAGACATATTAAAAAAAGTATATTTTGCCATTTGCACAATCTATTGGCGATTTGTATTCAATATGCACACATAAAAATATTAGATTAAAAATTGGTTACCATTTCAATTGTCAAAATTAAGTTTATAATACTTTAATTCAAAAATTTAGTGGGAAATTTGGGTTTGTTTAAGAGAGATCAGTTTTCTTATGTGTGATCTTATTTCACTTAGTTTTAACTGTAAATTAGGATCCACTTTTAATTTTTTGTGTATTTATTTTTCAAATATAATATGGAAGAAAATCCTTGTTTCCAGAAATAGGTTCTTCATAAAGGCAATAAAAATTTAATAGCTTTATATAAAATGTCTTTAATTCCTTTTTTGGGGGGGGGGAGGGGGTTCAGCCAAAAGTTAACAAGTCTGTTATTTTTTAAATCTTCAGTTAGAGTGTGATAACAGGAAATTTTTATCAATTGTTCTTTTTCTTCACTGATAAAATTTCAGGTACATTTGAGCAAAATGTAATCCAATTTTCTTTTCCATAGTTCTCAGGAAAAGATGCAGTGAAATGAAAAACAATGATTTTTAATGTTGGATGCTAATTCTTTTTTTATTTTCAAATTATTTTCGGTTAGAAAACTTTCTAAAGTTATAAAAAGCTTAAAATATTATTATCCAGTTCTTTGAATATTAGTTCGATTTTCTTATCATTGCATTTATTTTATCTTTAAATGGTAGTTAACCACTTTTTTGTTGAACAATTTAAAATGGTATTTTTAGCTGCTGCTATTATAATGTTTTCCCCAATAGTATTAGCCTGCCTAGCCTTGACAATCAGGCAATTGTTAGCTTTACTAAAACTTGACGGTTGTTAGGCTTACTAGGTAACTAGCTTCCAAAGCTTTTTCATTTGACATAACAAAACCATTCATTGTTTGTTTATATTTTTGAACTTCAATAATTTCCTGTTAAAATATTCTTCAAATTTATCCTTTAAGTTGGCATGCTTAATCTTTTAAGAAAGGACGGTTACATACTTTGATTGGATTATAGTTCACTGCAAACAATACCCTGAGTTTGAGGGTCCGTTTCATCTCCATTCGAAGTAAACCCAAATGATAAGTAACTTTCATTATGTTTTCTATAAAGATTTTTTTTTCCAGTATTCTTAGTATCAGTAGATTGTCCTGGATCCATCACCTGTGAATCACCACTTATCGACTTAGTCAGTCTTACCCATTTTTTTCCATTTTGTGAATCTAGGTTTGTTTTATTATTTTTCCACAGATATTTAAATGCATAATATTTAGCAAAATATTAATAGACAGCAAATAGATAGAAAAATTGATTCTAATTGTGTATAGAACAATATGAGCCCACAAATGGGGGTGGCATAAAGTGCAGACTAGCTAATAAATCTATCAACTCTAAAAGAATGAATGAGACAATATTATCTTTTTATAGGAACTTATTTTTATTTCCTATTAAATACAACATCTATTTCTTTGTCTCCGTTAAAAAGCATCATTTATGACAAATTTTGTTAAGTCTATGGCTAAAAGAATATTTGTAAAAATAAAAGCGGATTATTTTGTTAAAGTCTCTAAGCGGCTATTAACCTTCAACAAAGCTCAGATCATGTAAATTTACAAGTGTTAGAGAAAAAATGTTAATTACTGGGTGTTTAATTTTTGAATATAATAGTTTAAAATACTTTTTTTCTTTGCATACCATGTACTTTTATCGTGCATACCACCATTTGAGAAGCATTGGTCTAGAGAGCTGTAACATTATGTATGGATTTAAGGTAGTTATTGCAAAAAATTTTGATTGCATGGGAGGGAAAAAAATGTGCTTATCCATATTATTTTCTCAAATAAAAATAACAATACATATTTGCTACAATTTTAAAATGTGGTTTATTACATAACTGTTAGCTTTTAAAATACAATTTAAATTTAACTTTTTTTATTTTTAGACAAATGTTTTGTTTTGAGAAAGTGTTTTGAGTATTTTTGGACTAAGTTAAAGATGTTTATTCATAACAGCATGCTTATGGTCATTGTCTCGGTAGAAATTATTGATAGGTATTTAAAATAACTTTGATGATCATTTTAGATTTTGTTTAAAAATATCGGGGTTTAATGAAAATTTCCCACCACTGTAAGTATTGTCTGTTGAAACAACTCACGTTGGTGTGTTTAATCAAATTTTGTCAATTTTTCTCATTTGAAAGAAAGAGATTGCTTTAAAACACTGTGTTGTGAAATTTGTAAAAAAAATATTGCTGTCATTAAGTACAAGGCGCTTGAAGTTGAACTATCACACTCCCAGATTAGAACCATCATTTACTTCAGTTCTCTTCCAAAAAGTCAGCAACAGAACATAGGTACTAATGTTGTATCATATGACACTGTGAACGTTTGGTACCGGAAGTTCAAAAACGAGTTCTATCACATTCAAGAAGCAGAGTGCTTTTGCTGGCCTACTGATGTTGATGAGGCCTGCCTGCAAGAACTTGGAAGAACATCAGTATACAACCATTCGAGAGTTCATTAAGCAGTTAGACATTAGTACCATGTCCATTGGCCATGCTATGCATTGCATAAAGTAGCTGAACATCCAAGTTCAATCCCTGGATGCTGCATGAGCTGACTCAAACAGATAAGGACAGACTTGTTCATGCTTGCACTAATTTGCTTGGATATCAAGCAAGGACAAAATTCTGGACCAGATTGTCACTTGTGATGAAAAGGCGATTTACTTCAACAGCAGTGGCTGAAAAGTGAGTCGGTCTGCACCTGGTGAGTTTGTTGGCAACGTCGCTGAGAGCAATTTGACTAACAAAAAGATCATGCTTTTTGTCTGGTGGGATTGCTGTGGTATTATCCACAAAGAGTATCTGGAAAGAGGTAAAACCTGTGAGAGTAAGGTGTATACAGCAAGATGCTAGTCTGTGTTGATGCTGATATCAAGGAAAAATGTTGATCTGAGTTCTGTTACAAAAGGGAAATGTTCTATCAAGATAATGCAAGGCCACTTGTGTCTGCATTCACTGGTTGGATGGACTTGATTGGGATCTTTTACCGCACCAACCATATAGCCTAGACATAGTTCCTTTGGGTTTCTACCTTTTTTTCACACCTGTAGCTACATCTTGCTGGTGCTGTCTTCCATTCTGCACCGGATGTCCAAAATGAAGTTGATCTGTTTCTGGGCTGAAGGCTTTGAAAGACTACCAAAACTTTGGCAGATAATCTTAGATTTGAGTGGTGATTACTACCTGCACTAAAGATATACTGCTTTCATGTTTTTTCCCCTAATTTTATTAGAAGTGTTTTGTGGTGGAAAACTTTTACAACCAGATATGAATGCTTTTGCTGTGGTACTTTATCCCATTTAGCAATTTAAGATTATTGTTTCAGAGGGCAACATACGAGTACATGATCATAACTCCTTCTTGGCCATGTTTTACTGCTGGAACTAAGTTTCATTTTTGAGTTGCTGTTCATAGTTAAATTGACCATTTTAAACTGAAGATATTAAATTAATGTCTTGGCAAATATATCTTGTTATGTATGTAGAATTCATATTTCTGATAGATTTTGAGAGGGGGAACTGTAGTTTCTTGTTCTTTAACTGATGTAGAGTCTTTCCATGCCACTGGCTGCTGTATTTTGCAGATTTAAATTTCTGTTGTTAACTCCCAGATTAACAAACACTCCACCTACTAAAATTCTCTTGCAAGTTTGATCTTCAGTTCCATGAATATCTTGAACGAAATTGCTTATCCTCTATTGGACAGTTCTGTTTACTTTGTAAGTTATCTTTTATTTTCAGTTTTGTTATGCTTGAATAGCATATTATTTTAGAAACTGTTAAATGCTTAAATTTAATCATTTTATTATCTTTTGTGACAGTTTCTCTTTTTCTAGTTGCAGATTAAAAATTAGTTTATGAATTTCTTATTGCCTATGCTTTTTCGAAGCAGCCATAATAACAAAATGTCAAAATAGCACAAATTATGAGATTTCATCATTTGAAGAATTCAAGGAGACAATTTTTTTATCTAATTTTGTATTTATTGTGGATAATTTTATTTTTAGGTTCAGTGTTGTGTAAAGATATTTAACCTTTTCCCGTGGACTTGAAAATCAGTTTTGTACCTTCACTGGGGGCTCTTGGCTCAGCAGTTATGATAAGGGGGGAAAATTATCGAATCAAGTCTTGATGACTAGGTGATTAGTGCTCTTTCGTTGGGCAGACCAGGAAACGGTCAGGATTATTTCCGTTCAATCCAGTTCCAATGCTCTAGGCGTTAGAATGCGGGATGCACTCTAATCGCTTTCACACTGCAGGTAGATGAATGCAGTTTTCCCGAGGACAAAAAAATATTATTTTATCTAAAAAGTGTTCTATTTTATGATTAAAATAGTTTTTTAAACTTGCACATAGATTATGTACTAAAAAATAAGCGAAGCAATCAGAGTTAAATATATTTACTGTCATTGTATCGAAAATTCATCGAGTTAAAATATTCAAACATTTCCTGCAAACAATATATACATTTTCATTTTTAATAGTATTATTATTCTGATGTTGAAGAGCAAATTAAAAAGAGTTTATTTACTACAAAGAAACTAAAAAACATTTCTGGATTCCAAAATGAATATTATTACTTTTACTCCTTTGCTAATATTCAATTCTGGAAAAATAGAAATTGGTCACTGCACTAAAAGTTTACAATGCATGAGCCAAGAAATTTTTTATTTCTTTTTCTTCCATGTGGCGTTGCAAATAGCGGTCCCAGAGATGATCTGCCTTTACATCAGGCATATAAGGTGTATAATTTTTTTAACTGTTCCATAGTTTTTGGTTCAAGAAAGAAATGCAGATGCAAAACCTGGAGCTTTAGAAAACAAAATCCTTGTTGAGTTTTAATGTATTCAATAACAAAAATTTAGTTTTATAACATAGCGATGTAAGGTATTACTTTGTTGAAAGATATTACTTTGTATGATAGTTGTTCGATGATTTATATTGCTACACCATTTTTTGTTTGAATGCAAAATTGCATATACAGGAACGCCTTGATATTTCAGAAAGTAAACATCTTTGTCGATTAGCGTAATATTTCTTCAGTTTTTTTATTATCTACATTTTCAGAATGCTAAAATCATCTTTGAGGTATCAAACTGTTATGCGAAATTTTCAGATCTCAAGCTATTTACAGTTGCTTTCTTTGGGAGTAATGAAGTTTAGTTACAAAAGAAGTTAGTTCTTTGGGAGAAGAAGATTCGTACTGAGTTGATGAATATTAATGAAGATTCGCTCTTAGGATTAAATTCAGGGAATTAAAAAGTGGTACACATCTGAACTCCTGTATACATGCTTAGTATTCCAATATCTTATTTGATTCCCTCCAAAACACAATTCTCATGTAACATTAATTACTTTCTGAACCCTTTTAGCAACTGAGTGGCTAAGGCCACTGAATGGTGTTAGTGTGACGTTAGGTGATCGAGCTGGCCGCGAGGTCGGTTTTCGTTGTTTCCCCCATGTGAAACGTGAATACGAGCCAATTCCTCTGAAAGATCTCCACGAAGGCATCTTTTTCTTTAGGTATGCAGCCTTCGTGTACTTTCCCATATTCAATTAACCTAAACGGTGTCTAATTTCTGAACGAATATATAGAATTGATATTGATATGACATTATGAATGCAAACATATAACAACTGATAAATTAATAAGTTTTGAAACTTTTTAAATTTTGAATTAGAGAATGTTCCATAATAATTGCTTTAGTAAAAATTTGTATTTCATTTGTCGCACAATTAAAATTCATTTTCAAAATTATTCATAATTATTCATAAAAGGAAGGGTTTCTAGACATAGTAATGAAACACACATAAGTTTAGCTTTCTTATTTTGAATATAATTTTATTTTTATTTGTCAGATTAAAGAAAGTGTTATCTACCTAAGCGAAAGGGGCTATCGCGGAGCGCTTCAAAGGAAATTGGCTGATATACCCTTTATGTATGTGAGAGAACAAGAAAAATTCATGCAGTCAATCCGTTCATCGGAATTTGAATCCAGGTTAAATTATCAGAGTTAAAGAAATATTACCCGCTCGGCCGCTAGTTATCATTTAGAACATAACAAACCAAAATTTCACTCAAGTAAGCAGTAGTCGTGAAATGTATGTCATTTAGAAATAACATTAAAATTAATTTTCATCACCTGAAACATTTATGTTTATTACATTGCCTTAATATGCACATTAAAAATTGGAATAAAGTGATAAAAACACTTCTGAAAAGAATGAAAGACAAATTCGAATTGAAACCAAATAAAAAAGAATTTAATCAGAAATAACTGAAAAAATTATGCATTTTTAAATACATCCAAGCCGAACTTCTGAAAATAAAATTTCTTTGATATTTGACCTCCAAAGCCGTATTTGCACAGGAAAAAACCTGAAAATGCAAACGCGTGTGAATTGAAGTAACAATTATTCTTTTTATTTTCTCCTCTCAACAAAGTATTTCTTAGAAGATACCAAATTTGCTCACAAGACATGTGAATTCAAACGTGACCTTCGAGAAACAAAACACAGACAATTTTCCCCAATCCAGTAGCGGATACCCACAAAAGAATGCACTCTATGGGGTGTCATGAAATAGTCATCAAGCCTCAAGCGCTAGAATTCCTACTCCTGCCACCAACGACAAACTGTCCCAAACCCCCAGTTGCTGTATACTTAGTTCGAGACACATATGTCCCAGCCCCTGGGGAAAAGTTAATGATTTTTCCATTGTTCAGAGACATAATTTTTAAGCTCAGTTTTTTATTAAGAGTAACAACCTTCTCATCTTAAAAGATTAAAGCATTTAAAAAAATTGACAATGCTAAAGTTGCTCTACTGATTTTTATCCTAAAGGAACATTTGCTATGCCGAGCTTCTTCAAAGGAATTTGTTAAAATTTAATAAGATATGCTGTTTTATAGTTGCAGTGTTGAATGCCAAGTTATGTGTCTTCATTTAGTATAATTATTTCTCTAGATAACCCAGCTGAGACATGATTTATCAGTAAAAAATGGCTTACTGCAAATTTACACCCAAGATTTGGACACTGACTCTGAAACTGGTTCACCTGTGTAAGTTTTATGCCTATTTGTATGTTATTTTTTAAACATAATATAGATAGCGAGCAATTATTTGTAAGAGTATATTATAGCAATTTCATATTTGATAGAAATACGTTGTACATAGTATGTTCAGTGGCACTTGAAAGCACAGTAGAACTTTATTAGTGTGGATTGTATATTTTTTAAGTCTGCTGTTAATTAATTGATGTGCTTTTATTTTTTCATTTTTTTAAGTAAAAGGTTAATATCGTCATTGTCAAACCAATATCTCCTATGTGCACTTTTTTGGAAATTTCAACATTTTTACTATTATGACTAGTTTACTAACCAAATTTTCATATAAAAAGGCTGCTGTGTGATTGTAAACATTATACGATGAACTGTGATTGCTAAAAAAGATATGCTATTTCATCAGCAAGAAAGAATATTGTCAAATAAAATCTGCTGTATGACAAACGTGCGCATAGCATATTTTATTTGACCAAAATCATCTCTAATGGTTAGTAAAACATCTGCTATGTGGTTAGTCATAGCACCCCTCCTATACATATAGTTATGTTATGTACAACACAAATAAAATCGTCTTGACATTCTGCCAAGCATGGTAGATTCAATTCATTACTCTTAAACTGTCAGTGAATTAGCTGCATGAGCTTGTAAAGTATGTTTTGTCAAGTTATAAAGTATAGTGCAGTGGTTCTCAGAAAACCTTTAATACCACCACTACAAAGTACTACTACCACCACCACTCTTGAACGAAGCTCAGATCACATAAATTTACGAGTGTTAGAGAAAAAACTCAATCGGGATGTTTGGGTTTTAGTTTTTGAATTTAATTGATAAAAATACTTTGCTTCTTTGCGTACCACCTACTTTTCTCTTGCATACTACCAATAGTATACATACCACCAGTTGAGAACCCCTGGTGTAGTGCATAACTTTAATTTTGAACCCTAAAATGAACAGAATAAAGAAAATAAGAAAATAGTTGATTTAGTTTTAATAGCCAGTGACAATAAGTATTCAAAAGAGGAGAATCAGAATGTATTATGTCAAGAACTAACTACTATTGGAATCATTTCTCTGAATCAAGATCTGTTGAATTACATTGAGAGCGGTCAACCATCCATATCTTCTGTCATATGTGTTGAGAACATGTCAGTTAGTTCATTCTCTGAAAGAGAGCGTAGCTTACAACCTCAAAGAAGAAATGCTACATTATTTATAGTAAGTGATGATGATGGCAGTTCATCAAATGATGAGTTACCAGTACCGGAATTGTTTGTGAAGGACGATATGCCAAGCAGCTCTCAAGGCCCTCTTTTTGATCAATTTAGAACTAAATGTCACCATTTACTGGGTAAAAAATACAGGGGCTGTAAGAAAATAGATGCAAAATAGAATAAAGAAGCCAGGGATGTGAAAGTTTGTTGTAATCACACTGTAATTTTTCATCTGTGGGTTGATTTTGGAAGAAGAAAGAGCTGTTTTGCATTCAAAGTTTTGGAATATAAAGTCATGGGGTGGAAAAAAAGCTTTTGTACAAGGATTAGTCTCTAAGAGAAATTTACGAAAGATGCAAATGTGATAATCGTATTACTTCCAGGAAACAAACTGGTTTTGAAACTGGTGCCAAAGTCGGATTCTCAAAATTAACAGAATAAAAGAAATGTGCAGTTTTTTTTAAACACATTTGATCTTGGACACCATTCATACACTGGGTTAAGGACAGGCCAACAATAGCAGGTACAGCAGATGATTATGAAACCCCTACTTTAATTGCATGTCATCGTAGTATCATCACAAATAGAAATGTAGGAGGAACTGTGTTTGAATGGTTGAATTTACTTCCAAAAGTGCCTAGTCACTATTGCTGAGCATCATCAAAGCACATTTACGTTTTTTCAATTACACTTGCACATGCATGCAGTTTACAAAATGAAGTGCATTGAACAATATAAAAAACCAGTGTTGAGAAATACCTTTTTAAGTGTTCTTAGCACAGAGAACATTTCAATCACAAACTGAGAAAGGATCAATGCGATGTGTGCTCCAGTTTTCAGTTAAAAAATGTTTTGCAAGATGAGTATGAGGCAAATGTCCAGAAAAAAGATGAAGCACATAGCACTAAGAACAAAGCTATAGAAAATTTGAAGGATAGTCACATGGTGATATCTGTTGTCATGCAAAGTGTTCTTTTAGCACCAAACTTGCTTGCAGAAACACTGTATTATAAACAGAAACTGCATTGTCATAATTTTAGGATTTATAACTCTCGTTCTGGAGATGTTACTATTTCAGCACAAAGTAGATGAAGGGGTTACTTCAAATGAATTTACAAGCTGTGTCATTAATTACCTTAAAACTACATGCAGTTCTTATAAACACATTACCATGATTAGTGATGGATGTAGCTATCAAAATAGAAATTAGGTTTTGATGAGTGCATTGAGTGATTCTGCTTATTTTTGCAAAGGAGAACAAATTATACTAGAAAAGAGACTCACAATGATGAAGGTAGATAGTGATGGAAGTTTGATATAATGTTCTGAGTATAGGACATTATATCAAACCTCCTATTTATGCACTACAAGATTATATAACAAGAATGCTCCAGGCTCAACCCAAGCAACCATATGATATCAGAGTGTGTCATTACGATTTTTTCGAAGCTTACAAGCATCTAACCACCAATTTTCAGTCTATCAGACTTGGTAAAAAAAGGGTGATCCCTCAGTGAATGATATCAGAGGATTTTTATATAGGTCTAATGATGAAATGGGCTTCAAACTACCATCCACATGATTATATAATACTTCCTCAATGAAACGTCTTCCTGAAGAGTATCCTGAAACTTCAACATTGTATGCTGTCCCACTGAAAATATCTCAATCAAAATGCAATCAGTTACAGGAAAGTAAAACGTTTATTGACTGTGACTATCATTCATTTTATGATTTTTTAAAGCATAGCAGATTATGAATTGTCAATTATTGGTACACAGCAGGTATCAGTAAAAAAAGTCTAATTTACATCAGTATTTTATTATTTAGTATAAGTGTTTTTGTCTGTTTTTTTTTTCACTCAGCAATAATAAAATACTGATGTAAATTAGACTTTTTTTACTGATACCTGCTGTGTACCAATAATTGACAATTCATAATCTGCTATGTGAACAAATAACTTTAATTTGGTACTTATAAATAAATTATTACATTTGAATACCTAAAAATCAACTAAAGTAACATACAGTAAGACCCCGCTTAATGCTGTTTCGGTTTAGCGCTCTTTTATTTCAACCCGGGGATTCCACGAAATCGCTCGCAGCATACGGGGATTCCCCGAAATATTATGCAGCGATAGGTTTCAAATACATATCCGAAAGAGTGTACTTGTATTTCTTGTTTGGTGCGGTATTGTACAGACATATTTTGAAGGGGTAAATGTGGAAGATGTCGAAGAAATAATTCAAGAAGCAACGGCTAGTCTTTCTAATGATGAACTCAAGGAATTAACTGAACAAGAAGAAAACAAAAATGTTGACAGCAGTGATTCAGAAGAAGAGCAAAAAGAACTTTCGATGGCGTTTGTAAAAAGGAGTTTGTCTACGATAACTGAAATAATGGATCAATTCATTGAAAATGATCCGAATTTTGACAGGAGCTCAAAAGTAAGGCGTGGTGTTAGAGATGCTCTATCCGTTTTCGAAGAACTTTTAAGAGAACAACGCAAAAGAATAAGGCAAAACAACATTAGATGCTTTTGTCACAAAAAGGCAGAACACTAAAAACGCAGAAGGCTAACTAAATATGACTGACTGAGAATTTTATTTGTTTTTTTTAAGAATATTCATTTTGTTATTTATATTTTGTTTTTATTTTTGCAAGAAATAATAATGTGGTATTAATTTGGGCTTTAAGAAATAAATGTTTGGTTTTATTTTTATTAAAAAAACATACTTTTTAAATTTAATACCTAACCAATTTCCTAGCCATCTTCCCCTAACCCCAATATTTACATGTAAAGATAGCCTCGTTTGGCGCTGTTTCGCATTACGCTCTACTTTGATGGAACGTATCCCCTGCGTTAAGCGGGGTCTTACTGTATAACACATATAACTTTAAATTAGTTTTCGAAAATCTGTTTCGTATAAAATTTTACAGCATAAAATTTTTATTCAGTATCCCAGAGTTATACTTTTTCACATAGAAGATATTGATTTGACAACAACGATATGTAGTACTTATGTTTTTAAGGAACTATTAATCTTGTATGTGTAGTACAAATTAACTTAGTGTTTGGCAAATATGAATGGAAAAGCAATTATAACTGTTATATGTTTAGTGCTCACTATTTACTCAGTAACTCATTACCTAATCATAATAAATGCCTTTTTTTCTAAAAATAGACTAAATAAATATGGTATATTATTTCCCTCTTAATAGAATTTTTGTCTGCATTATAACATGCAGCTTAACTGCAGTCAGTTACTTTCTGTTAACCTTTTAAAGTATGTCATTTCCCCCCCCCTCTTGTGTTTGATATGCAGCCTGTATTGATGATAAGATGTCTGTCTTTTTTTTTTTTTCAAAAAATGCATTTTTTTTCTCCCAAGCTGAAAGAATTGGTGATGATTGTTTTGACTTATTGTTATTGTTTCATTGTACATTCTTTAAGTGGCTGATCATAAATTCATTAAGTTATTGCATTATAGAGTTTAAAAAAATCATGTAAATTTATAACTTTGGCATTCTTAAAATTGTTTAATGTGATTTTATACTTATCACTTTTATGTATAATGCATAATTTAACAGTATTTTTTAATTTTTATCAGTAATTTTTTTTATACTTCTATTAATTTTCTTGTTTATAATCATTCTGGTTTAAGATTTTCTTATAAAGAAATATCCTCTCTTCCCCCACCTTAAAGTTGAAAATTAGCATTGATTTGTATTTGGAAGGGATGTTTATAATGTTTCTTGTGCTGTAGAAATATTTATCTAGAAATCTAACATATCTACTATTGTCTGGATTTAAAATTCACTATTGTCTTATAACTGGAGGTATAATGAAAAAGGGGAAATAGTAAGGCAGTTGTAAATATTATTACTATTTATTAGTTATGTAAATATTGTTTACTGTGTGATTTAAAGGTAATTCATTAAAGTTTTGAATTCGAGGATTTAAATAAAAGAGTTTAAAAAATTATCTGTCAGATACAACCAGGTTTAACATTTCTAAAAGAAGGTTCTAAGATATAAAGCAGTGATGGAAATAACTTTTACATAACAAAATAAAGATTATGCATTTTTAAATGATGTATGTAATGAGCTAATTGAGTACTGCAAGATTTTCATTTAACTGTATAGTGTTTTGCTTCTTTGTGTTGCACACAGATAGGCTTTGTTTTTGATTAACATGTTAAAACTTACTGTAACAAATATTTTAGTCTGAAAAAAGTAATTCAGAATTAACAGCACTGCTTGGAGTTCTGATGTAGCAGATGGTGTCTTTTTGTTTCTTAAGAAACTGTTGCTGTATTCTATAAAAGTAGCAAATCTTCATTAGCATGAAACTGTTTTGCAGTTGTCCATATGTTTTTTGAAATTCATATTTAATTTGTCCACATCTTTGGACATAGGAAAGTAGTGTTAAAGTTATTAAAAACTGAAAATAATATAGGGGTTAAAATAGATATTAGAAAATCTAAATTTTTAAAGGATCTGTTTGTTACCTTGAGAAAAAAGCATAATATTCATGAACTGAAAATTTCTTATAGTGCTTTTTTATATACCACATACATGTAAATTCATGCTTTGATAAATGTATTATCCTGCACATTTCCCTTAAAGAACTATAACCTTACACATCAGAATCTATGTCTTATGCGAATAACTTTTGTTATATGTTGTATATATTTAAATAAGCTTTAACATTGTTTCTTTGAAATGTCTATGATTATTCATTGAGACCTAGAATGATATAATACTATTTGTATAAAAACAAGATAAATAAATTTAAAAAAATGAACACAAAATCAGTTTTTAAACAATGATATTCATTAAATCTACATAAATATTATTTACTGTGTGATTTAAAGGTAAGTATAAAATACTCATGTGAATTTTTTTAAAGAAATCTTTTGGATCTGAATTCACTTATCATAAGCTAATGTACTGCTAATTGCGTCCAATGCTTAATTAGCGCATTTATTAACACTTTTATTAAGTGTTAATAAATATTGTTATTATTTTAAGTGTTAATAAAGCGCATTTATTAACACTTTTATTATCTATAAAGATAAGTAACATACATCCAACACAATTACATTTTGCAAATGGATTGAAGAGGTAGAATTTGCAAATTTCCACAAGGTAAAAGCAAAAGTATGTGGAATAAAAACTTAATTGCTAGAGGCAAGATACTACAAAAAAAAAAATTGTATGTGTGTGTGTTTTTATGCGTGAAAATTTGCTTCTCAGTAAAAACATGTTACAAGGAAAATTCTGTGCCCTCTTATTATGCATATAATAATTTTACTAATTAATTAAATTTTACTTCTTTTCATAGGTTTAGGTTGTCATATATGCAATTTACTTTTTAATTGTCCATTTTTATGTTCAAGTTCTTCTGAGTTTTGTTATTTGCAAAATAAAAGATGATTTTTTATTATACTTTTCTAGTCTTTTTTTTATTATATGTGTTTGCTGGTTTTATTACACATGTACACAAAACTATACAAGCTTTTTTATTACTATTATTATTCAGTAAAGAAAAGGGCTTCTCTGTCAGCTGGGAGGTACTCAATAAAAAAATCAGTTGCTTGCAAGAGGAGAATAGCCAACTTCGATCTGAGGTAAATTAGTTACTAAAAGCTGACTTCTGTAGAATATTATAAGATGCTATTTCATTTACAATATTCTGTATAAATTTTAATTCTCTGTAAACTCTGTTTGAATTGTATATTTAGGCTTTTTCAAGAACGGCTGATATTGAAAACGAAGAAAAGAAAGAAATGCAGCTAATATCTGATTGTGTGAAGCAGCTGAGTAAGTAGTCTTGGAATTTAAAATTTTTCAAATTATCTAACTGTTTTTATTTTAAAACAAATATTTATAATGATAATTCTATTAGCTGAAGCGAATAAACAGTTGTCATACTTACAAGAAGAAATAGGCAAAAAGACTGAAGATAATATTCGTCAGCAAGAAGAAATCACTCAGCTGCTTTCACAGATAGTTGATCTTCAACGGAAACTACGAGATGTAAGAAATAAACCTTTTAATATTTTTTATTAAAAAATACACAGTAATATCTAGTAGTTACATACTTAATATTTGCATAAAAGGTAATTTTATTGTTTAACGTAGTGCTGCTTTAAAAGGAACTTGGTTTGTGGTGGGAAATGTTTGATAGTTTATGTAGTTTTTTCATTTAATATTTTTCTGCTATATATAACTTATTTAAAACATTTTGTTGTATTTTTTATTTAAGCATCATACCAAATATTTTGATGGGTCTCTTTCTTAGTAGGCAATTTGAAAACATGATTAAATGAGTTATGATTTCAAACACTAATAAATATCATCACTATTGTAATAAGTAAGTCCTCTGTCTTCTCTTTGCGTATTTAAAAAATCAGGTTTGTAATAATGGCCCCCCAAAATTTTTTTAACACATTTTTTTCCCTCAAAACTGTTCTTTTAAAAATATTTCATGCTTTTACAAGAGAGGAAGTTGTACATTTTTATCAGTTATTGATTTTTTAGTTGGAAACTTTTTAGACTATTTTAGTGACTACTAGTAAACCCTTGATTCCCTAATGAATTGACTAAGCAAAAGTATGAAACTCAGTAGATAAGAATTACATTTAAATGAGATTGGAAGAATTAAAAAGTAGAGAATATGTCTAGATTTAAAGTTAGATATATATTTTGAGACTTGGTGATAAGGATTAAATGAAATTAAGTAATAAATAAATAATATTAAATGAAGGTGGATGAATTGTTTTATTCTTTTATTTTCCAATGTAGCTTAAACCTTGTGTAACAGTGCAAAGTTAATGAAATAACAGTGTAACAGTGAAATTAATTAAAAAAACTTCACTGCACATGATGTTTTGGGTATAAACATTATTAAGCATTATAAGCTGAGTGCATCCATCCCACACATCTTCCCTCTCTACTTTTTCTAATATATGTGTGAAAAGTTACATTTTTTGAAGCTGTTATTTATTAAAAAAAGTTACTTAGCTTAAACTATCTTCTGATGCCTGATGGAATTAATGAAGAAGACATGTCTCAGATGTTAGTGATTTATTATATTTAGGTGAAAATTTTTTACTGATTTGAACAATAATATTTGAACAAAAAATGTTTTGTTTTCAAAATTGATGTCATTAAAATATGTGTGTGATGGTGGTGAGAATGAAAGGACATGCTTTCTCACTATGGTTAATACAGTGCTGGTGAGGTTTGATGGTACTTCCATGCGCGGAAGTGGGAACACTTCTGCATAAAAGAGAGAAAAAAAAAAAAAATTCGAGATAGGTAAAACAATTTGTATAGTTTAGTGGCATTTCCACACAATTACATCTTGGTTATCTTTCAATAACTTGAAACAGCAATTTTGATGATGAATGAATTTCGTTATGAATTTGTCTTGTAAAATTCTAAGCTACTGGATTACAAAAACATAGATTTTAGCAAAATGTTTATGTTATATGTAAAGAGTAATAAGTAACTTAGGGCACATTTAAAATGTCGGAATTGCAAAAATAAATGCCCTTTAGAGCTCAGTTTTCTTATAACTAACTGGTGTAAGTGTGAAAATTTGTATACTTCTTTCGATGCCCCTGTTAACTATATCTGCTTTTTTTTATTTTATGTTCCAAATATCAAAATTATATAAATATCAAATTATTTATTAAATATATATATATATATATTTATAATGATTATAAATATTATCTAATTATATAATGACCTTAACATTTAATTGTAAACATAAATTGAAGTTTTGTAAATTTATAAAACTATTTAAGCAAGAATTCTTTTTACTGGAAAAAGGTGTGATACACACAGTGTATGAGATGTGTACTTAAGCAAGTAGTAAAGTAGAATTTTAGAATGTGTATTGTTGAAATCAAGGGAAATTTTTTTTTAAGTATTAAAAGAATTATTTTCTTACATATTATAATAACCAGACAGAGCATTAATTATAGAGTGACTATGATGTTTGATTTAAAAGATTCCTTAGAAGCTGAAAATCATCTCAGATTTGAGAAAGTATTTCAGATAGAAGCTCTGTAAGTAGAAAAGATATAATACTTTATTTTAATATTAACAATAAAATAAATTTTCACTTTAATTTTTGTAGTTATTAACTGAATAGTTGAATTACCTTAAAATTTCTTTCTAATGTAATGAACAGAAAATGGTGAAAACATTAAATTCAAATTGAAATTGTTCTTAGAAAAATATAGCATTTAATTCCATTCAGAATGAAATACTGCTTAAAAATGTATTCTTTCACTTACTCTGAAATATTTTAGAAAAAGAAAAATATGCATTTATACTTATACAGCATTTATGCAAAATATTTACCTCTGATCATGTTAAAACCTCTTCATCTTAATGGCAAGTCACTGAATATATTGGTCATCAAGAGAGGTGTTTGACTGCTGTAAAGAAATGTATGGGAAAAATCAGTTTGGGTCTCTCCTCTATTTCCCATCTCCATGGTGCATATATGCGCAAACATAAAATATGAAACAAAATTATTTAATTGGAACCACTTTGCAACAGACCATCGGATTTAAAAATTTTAATTAAACGCATCTGCACTTCAGTGATACGCTTTACACCATTTTTTGTCTCCCTGCAGCATGTTATGTCACTCTTTCCCTACAGTTTCTCTGCACTGTGAAATCTTTAGCCCAATCACTGCTCAGGATTGAAATAAAGATCTTTTTGCTTATAGACTGCAGTTAATACGCATTACTTTTCTTACCTTCTGCTGCTGTAAAAAACTATGTCTCTTGCTTCACATTATTTCTCTATTGTTTAAAAAATGTGAGTGCGTATTTAAAAATTTTGGGAAACAGATTACCCCATTATGCTGTGCTACTCAATATGATGTTTGAGCAGCATAATCATCAAGTAATAACGATATATTGTGCTTACCCTAAGATTTTATGGTTTTCCTAAGAGTTCATGACATCTATCATGCTGTCTGCATCACATCTGTTACCTCTTCGACCCTGACTTAATTGAAATGTACTATGGCTGCGAACCTCTGAAATACACTATGATAAATGTGTGTAAGTAAAATATCAAAGTATGAAGAAAAATTTATTGCCAAATTAAATTTAATTGGAATGGTTGTTTGAATTCTTAATTTTAATTGCATGCATCCCCTCATTTAGACTGCATGTAGCAACATTTTCTTCATGCTTTCCTTGCAGTAAGCACAATGCAAAATATTTTAGCCAGTTGCTGCTCAGGATTAAAACAAAAGCTTTCCAAGCTCATAAACACTACTGCTGTTATTATGCACCACTTCTTTTGTTGCTTGCTTTGCCTTGGAAAATCATGTCTCTTCGCTAAGCTTCTTTTTCTATTACGTAAAATAGAAATTATGGGCATGTTTAATACCAGTAGTGTTGCACCAATTTAAACTAAAATCTATTTCTGAATAATTGTTCCTGTTAAAAATAAAAATGATGTTTTAAACATCAAGCAAGTTGTAATTTTCACTTCAGTAATATCTACCCGATATTCTTCTTGGCATGACTAAATGAAGAATTGTTTTATTCTTCTGCAAAAAACTGTGGCATCATATTTTATAAACGTAAGCTATATTGCTTACTTATATGTATGTATGTTCACAAACAGACCATGTCCAGTAAGCAATTTTGCTTACTTATATATATGTGTATTCACAAACAAACCTTGTCCACAAAATGTCCTTACCTGACCTTTATTTTCACAATCATTGATTGTAAACTTAAACTTCCAGTTACAAACATGTTTTAATTGGGGTAAATATTCATGTCATAGCATTTTAATTTTTCCTAAATCAGTTTTGTAAAAGTTATGAAATCTTAACTTTTTATATACTCTTAAAGTCGCTACACATATTTTTAGGAAAATGCAATGTTTATTGAAAAAATTGATGGAGATATTTAATTTCAAAATTTTCAATTTGCATTGAGGGGTCAGTTAAGGAATAAATTAAAATTCTTTGAGGCTGATTTTTTTTTCCCTTTTAATAATATTTTTTCTGATTTACTCTGTTGTCTTTATAATTCTCTTCACATTTGGTATGGCAAAAGAATTTTCACACTAGTAATTTATGAGTTTTCAGTTTAAAAGTATGTTATTAAGTTTTATTAATATAAAATCCTAATCTGGTAGTCATACAAAAAATTTATTAAACTACCAATATTTTTCATTTTTAAATTAATACAAAAAATATTACATGTTGGCTACATGCCAGTACTGAAACCTGTCAGTCTTTACTAGAGCACAGTTTCTGTAAGATTTTATGAATAAGATCTTCTGTTTTTTAAAAAATTTATACTGATCAATACTTTTTATAATAATCTGCACAGAATTGCTTGTCGTTTAATCTCTTACCATCATAAACATTTTTCTAAACTGAAATTTTATTTTTAATAATATTTTGCTCTTCATTTTATGCATGATCCCTGATTATGATCTTCAAGTTTAATATTAAATATTTCAGTCAATTTTTATTGTACCTAAACCATCTTTTATTAATTTTGTTTTTTGTAACAAGTATAACATTTCCTAAATAAAAAAAAAACTGGGAGAATGTATAAAAAGTTAGATTTGGTAATTTTTATAAAATTGATTTCTTAGGATTTAAGAATGCCAAAACATGAATATTTGTATCATTTAAAACATTTTTGTAATAGGAAGTGTATGGGTTGACTAATGGCTTCAGAAATAAAGGTTGGGTGGCCAGATAGACTTTTGTGCACACAGTGTATAAGGAAACCTATATGTAAGCTAATTTTTTTTTATTAAAATTGTAAAATTATATTTTACACTTTATTAAATGCAAGCTTAAATGGTAAAAAAAAAATAAAAATAAAATAAAAATAAAAAGAGCCAACATTTAAATAATTTAGAGATGTAATGAGAAAGAACTGAGAGAATATGATAAATGTTTCTTCAATAGGGAACTGATAGCAATTGTAACCTAACCTGCCACTTTCATATATTTCCGGATAAGATTT